GCCGTGAGGGAGCCGCGGCGCGTCCCGGCCGAGCCCGAGGCCCCCGATGGAGCCCGAGTCCCCGGCGCGGGGCCGGGGGCAGCGGGGAGCCCGTGCCCGCTCAGGCTGGGCACAGCTGGACCTGCCCTTGTCCTCAGCGGGGTGTTGTGTCCTCGGTGCCTTACGTCTTCCCTTTTTAGTGAGAGGAAACAATTCCAGGCTGATTCAGAATCCCTAAGACTCGGGACAAAAGCTCTAAGACTTGTGACAGAATTTGCAGGAGTTTGACAACTGTGCGGTGCGTTGGCTGAGGCAGTGGTTAATTTTCTCGTTCTGTTCCAAGTTGTGGGCGATTGTCATTTCTTTGATAAAACAAACTGTAAAAGAGATGGGATGGTTGAGGGTGTTCTGTTGGCTGCATCTTTGAAAGAAAGAAAGAAAGGGAAGGGGAAAGGGGGCTCCCACGGCAGAAGGTGGTATGTGGTGGTGCTGCCCTTTTTTTCTGCGTCTAGTGTGTTATAATAGTGATTTTGAAGAACAGAATCCTGAAATCCACCTGGAAGCTTCATCATCTTCCCCATTGCTCCAGAAATCTTTCAGACGATTCCTTCTCCTCAAATAACTACTTAAGTAAAGGCCTTGTGAAGGACTAATTGCTTCCTTCATCATCTAGGCCTCTATTCAGCCCATCAGTGTTAGTCTGTTAATACTTCATTCCTCTTTCCTCTTGCTCAGGTGGTCCTTGGGTTTTGTCACTAGACTTTTTCATTTAAACATATTTGTTGTCTTCCCCTTTGGCACTTTTCCCACCAACGTTTGATCTCGATGTGATTATGAAGTCTCAGTTGCTTCCATGCTCTCCAGCTCCCCAGGGATTAGGCTTATAAGGCTCTGGTAGTTAAAAAGAGCTCTCGGTCAAGCAAGCAGCGATACGTTGTTTGAGAGGAGGTAAAATACTGGCCAGAGTGCTCATTGCTCAGTCCAATTGGGTCTTCACCTGTGGGAGCATGTGTATTTATAGCCTTGTCACAGAACATCATAATTAGATGTGCCCATATGGCAACCCCAGCCCGTATCGTTGTCACAGCTCAGGGGCTCCGTTATTAGCACCGTGTCATTGGGGGCTAGGCTGCAAGCACACGACCAGTAATGCAGTAATACTGAAGGGAATTACCCATGATTACAATTTGGGTGATTCGTTCTTAATTTTATGCTAGTGCATTGTTCCGCATTGTGCTGAAGACTAAAGTTGTCTTTTTATGCCCAGAGCAGGTAGAGTTTCCACCTCAACAAAGACAAACCTGCTCAGGAGGAACTCCAGCTACATGGTCTCTGTAAGCTACAAGTGTTCGGTCTCCATGAGCAGCCTTGTTGGTGGGCTTGAACGAGACTGCAGAGGTAATTGAAATATTTCTTTTATAATCTCGTGTTCTGACAACAAAAAATGAATGTAGTTTAAAAAAGAAGAGGAAAGGAGGTTCCTTTGCAGGACCTGCCCAGCTACAAAGGTAATGAGTAATCGCTTGGTTGACGTTTATTTGAAACCAATGTGCTTCTGGGTTTGCCTTGAACAGTTAAATCAGAGGTGAAATGGTCAGTTAAGAAGCTAAAGCTGGCTCCTTATGTCTTTCCTTAAAATATGCTGCATCTCACAAATTTTATTTGGAGGCAAAGGATAGGGACAGAGATGGATTGCTGTTGGGCACATAAGAGTTTAACCAGGTCAAGTAAAAGGTATTATTTCTACAAGTGTTTCTTTGCAGAAATACCAAGCTGGCTCTTGTTTCAGGTCTGTGTGTTATTTCAAAGATACAGCACACTGGCTTCAAAAGCATTTGCTGGAATGCCTTTATTAAAAGCATAGGAAGAGAGAAGAGGGTGGATTTCAAACCATGAAGAGTTAAATCAAATCTTGCTGTTAACAATTTTCCTTGGTTTCTTCTCCCTAGTTATATGATTTTTTTATATTAAATCCTTTTCATGATACTCTTTCATGGTATGAGCTACTTGTGATGCAGTGGAGGGGGCAGGGAAGGCAGTTTTAGCCAGTCTTCAGTTATTGGAAACTGACGTTGTTCCCTTTGGCAAAAAATAATAAAAAAATATAGCAGCAAGCAGACAAAAGATGCGTTTTCTTGCTTGTTTGAAAATTAGCCATGGGGAATTGCACACACATAGCTCAGGCTCTCAGCAGCTCATTCAGAGCTCGCAAACTTTTATGCATGAGCTTTTTTTAATGACATTACTGAGTTTGCTTTTCTGATCACAAACTTGAGGCAGTTCTGGGAAACGCAAGGTTTGCCAAGCACTTGTTGGGCAGGAAGCGAGAGGAAAAGCGATGAAGGTGGGCAAGCAGAGGAAGTAGCAGGGAGTGGTGAAGCCAAAGCTTCCGAGTTCCCAAAGAAACTGTGAAGACCTGTTTTTCTTAGCTTGAACTTGCCAGCTTGCAGCAATTATCTTCACTCCTTGTTAGGTTGGATTTACATATTCAAATGAGCTCATTGCCTTTGACCTACTTTGGCCAGCCTCAACTGAAGCACAACGTGGGAAGAGGAGGAGTTTTTCTGAAACTATGAATTCCTTTATTGTTGCTGTGGTCGGCCATGCATATCTTTAATGTCTGGGATTGAATCTTTAGCTGTGCCTAATAAACATTAGGTGATACTCAGGGGAGGATTTGCATTGCAGATGCTTGCAGTCGTGTTACCTTTTGTGGTATCCACCACTCCCATCATA